CAGAGGTCAGTCTCCAGAGGTCAGTCTCCAGAGGTCAGTCACCTGAGATCATTCTCCAGAGGTCAGTCTCCAGAGGTCAGTCTCCAGAGGTAAGTCTCCGGAGGTCAGTCTCCAGAGGTCAGTCTCCAGAGGTCAGTCTCCAGAGGTCAGTCTCCAGAGGTCAGTCTCCAGAGGTCAGTCTCCAGAGGTCAGTCTCCAGAGGTCAGTCTCCAGAGGTCAGTCTCCAGAGGTCAGTCTCCAGAGGCCAGTCTCCAGAGGTCAGTCTCCAGAGGTCAGTCTCCAGAGGTCAGTCTCCAGAGGTCAGTCTCCAGAGGTCAGTCTCCAGAGGCCAGTCTCCAGAGGTCAGTCTCCAGAGGTCAGTCTCCAGAGGTCAGTCTCCAGAGGTCAGTCTCCAGAGGTCAGTCTCCAGAGGTCAGTCTGCAGAGGTCAGTCTCCAGAGGTCAGTCTCCAGAGGCCAGTCTCCGGAGGTCAGTCTCCAGAGGTCAGTCTCCAGAGGTCAGTCTCCGGAGGTCAGTCTCCGGAGGCCAGTCTGCAGAGGCCAGTCTGCAGAGGTCAGTCTCCGGAGGTCAGTCTGCAGAGGTCAGTCTCCAGAGGCCAGTCTCCAGAGGTCAGTCTGCAGAGGTCAGTCTCCAGAGGTCAGTCTCCAGAGGTCAGTCTCCGGAGGTCAGTCTCCAGAGGTCAGTCTCCAGAGGTCAGTCTCCAGAGGTCAGTCTCCAGAGGTCAGTCTCCAGAGGTCAGTCTCCAGAGGTCAGTCTCCAGAGGTCAGTCTCCAGAGGTCAGTCTCCAGAGGTCAGTCTCCAGAGGTCAGTCTCCAGAGGTCAGTCTCCAGAGGTCAGTCTCCAGAGGTCAGTCTCCAGAGGTCAGTCTCCAGAGGTCAGTCTCCAGAGGTCAGTCTCCAGAGGTCAGTCTCCAGAGGTCAGTCTCCAGAGGTCAGTCTCCAGAGGTCAGTCTCCAGAGGTCAGTCTCCAGAGGTCAGTCTCCAGAGGTCAGTCTCCAGAGGTCAGTCTCCAGAGGTCAGTCTCCAGAGGTCAGTCTCCAGAGGTCAGTCTCCAGAGGTCAGTCTCCAGAGGTCAGTCTCCAGAGGTCAGTCACCAGAGGTCAGTCTCCAGAGGTCAGTCTCCAGAGGTCAGTCTCCAGAGGTCAGTCTCCAGAGGTCAGTCTCCAGAGGTCAGTCTCCAGAGGTCAGTCTCCAGAGGTCAGTCTCCAGAGGTCAGTCTCCAGAGGTCAGTCTCCAGAGGTCAGTCTCCAGAGGTCAGTCTCCAGAGGTCAGTCTCCAGAGGTCAGTCTCCAGAGGTCAGTCTCCAGAGGTCAGTCTCCAGAGGTCAGTCTCCAGAGGTCAGTCTCCAGAGGTCAGTCTCCAGAGGTCAGTCTCCAGAGGTCAGTCTCCAGAGGTCAGTCTCCAGAGGTCAGTCTCCAGAGGTCAGTCTCCAGAGGTCAGTCTCCAGAGGTCAGTCTCCAGAGGTCAGTCTCCAGAGGTCAGTCTCCAGAGGTCAGTCTCCAGAGGTCAGTCTCCAGAGGTCAGTCTCCCGGAGTCAGTCTGCAGAGGTCAGTCTCCAGAGGTCAGTCTCCAGAGGTCAGTCTCCAGAGGTCAGTCTCCAGAGGTCAGTCTCCAGAGGTCAGTCTCCAGAGGTCAGTCTCCAGAGGTCAGTCTCCAGAGGTCAGTCTCCAGAGGTCAGTCTCCAGAGGTCAGTCTCCAGAGGTCAGTCTCCAGAGGTCAGTCTCCAGAGGTCAGTCTCCAGAGGTCAGTCTCCAGAGGTCAGTCTCCAGAGGTCAGTCTCCAGAGGTCAGTCTCCAGAGGTCAGTCTCCAGAGGTCAGTCTCCAGAGGTCAGTCTCCAGAGGTCAGTCTCCAGAGGTCAGTCTCCAGAGGTCAGTCACCAGAGGTCAGTCTCCAGAGGTCAGTCTCCAGAGGTCAGTCTCCAGAGGTCAGTCTCCAGAGGTCAGTGACCTCCGGAACCTTTATAAACTTATGAAAATTGATGTATAAGTTTATGATATATTATGTATATAATTGTATATTATGAATATACACCAAGCATAATACAGTGTGCGGCCACACAGAATTCTTCCTGAGGAAAATATGGTTTTCGTATGAGGTGAGGATCCCTCCTCTATGGAGCATGGTCCCCCTCATGGCTTGCATGAGGTGAGGATCCCCCCTCTATGGAGCATGGTCCCCCTCATGGCTTGTATGAGGTGAGGATCCCCCCTCTATGGGACAAGGTCCCCCTCATGGCTCGTATGAGGTGAGGATCCCCCCTCTATGGAGCATGGTCCCCCTCATGTCTCGTATGAGGTGAGGATCCCCCCTCTATGGAGCATGGTCCCCCTCATGGCTTGTATGAGGTGAGGATCCCCCCTCTATGGAGCATGGTCCCCCTCATGGCTTGTATGAGGTGAGGATCCCCCCTCTATGGGGCAAGGTCCCCCTCATGGCTCGTATGAGGTGAGGATCCCCCCCTCTATGGAGCATGGTCCCCCTCATGTCTCGTATGAGGTGAGGATCCCCCCTCTATGGAGCATGGTCCCCCTCATGGCTTGTATGAGGTGAGGATCCCCCCTCATTGGAGCATGGTCCCCCTCATGGCTCGTATGAGGTGAGGATCCCCCCTCTATGGAGCATGGTCCCCCTCATGGCTTGTATGAGGTGAGGATCCCCCCTCTATGGAGCATGGTCCCCCTCATGGCTTGTATGAGGTGAGGATCCCCCCTCTATGGAGCATGGTCCCCCTCATGGCTTGTATGAGGTGAGGATCCCCCCCTCTATTGGGCATGGTCCCCCTCATGGCTTGTATGAGGTGAGGATCCCCCCCTCTATGGAGCATGGTCCCCCTCATGGCTTGTATGAGGTGAGGATCCCCCCTCTATGGAGCATGGTCCCCCTCATGGCTCGTATGAGGTGAGGATCCCCCCTCTATGGAGCATGGTCCCCCTCATGGCTTGTATGAGGTGAGGATCCCCCCTCTATGGAGCATGGTCCCCCTCATGGCTTGTATGAGGTGAGGATCCCCCCTCTATGGGGCAAGGTCCCCCTCATGGCTCGTATGAGGTGAGGATCCCCCCCCTCTATGGAGCATGGTCCCCCTCATGTCTCGTATGAGGTGAGGATCCCCCCTCTATGGAGCATGGTCCCCCTCATGGCTTGTATGAGGTGAGGATCCCCCCTCTATGGAGCATGGTCCCCCTCATGGCTTGTATGAGGTGAGGATCCCCCCTCTATGGGGCAAGGTCCCCCTCATGGCTCGTATGAGGTGAGGATCCCCCCCTCTATGGAGCATGGTCCCCCTCATGTCTCGTATGAGGTGAGGATCCCCCCTCTATGGAGCATGGTCCCCCTCATGGCTTGTATGAGGTGAGGATCCCCCCTCATTGGAGCATGGTCCCCCTCATGGCTCGTATGAGGTGAGGATCCCCCCTCTATGGAGCATGGTCCCCCTCATGGCTTGTATGAGGTGAGGATCCCCCCTCTATGGAGCATGGTCCCCCTCATGGCTTGTATGAGGTGAGGATCCCCCCTCTATGGGGCAAGGTCCCCCTCATGGCTCGTATGAGGTGAGGATCCTCCCCTCTATGGAGCATGGTCCCCCTCATGGCTCGTATGAGGTGAGGATCCCCCCCTCTATGGAGCATGGTCCCCCTCATGGCTCGTATGAGGTGAGGATCCCCCCCCCTCTATGGAGCATGGTCCCCCTCATGGCTCGTGTGAGGTGAGGATCCCCCCCCCCCTCTATGGAGCATGGTCCCCCTCATGGCTCGTGTGAGGTGAGGATCCCGCCCTGGAATCTGGTCCCCAACATGGCTCGTATGAGGTGAGGATCCCCCCCCTCTACGGAGCATGGTCCCCCTCATGGCTCGTGTGAGGTGAGGATCCCGCCCTGGAATCTGGTCCCCAACATGGCTCGTGTGAGGTGAGGATCCCGCCCTGGAGCCTGGTCCCCCACATGGCTCGTATAAGGTGAGGATCCCGCCCTGAAGCCTGGTCCCCCTCATAGCTCATATGAGGTGAGGATCACCCCCTGGAGCCTGGTCTCCGTCATGGCTTGTATGAGGTGAGGATCCCTCCTGGAGCCTGGTCCCCGTCATGGCTTGTATGAGGTGAGGAGCCCCCCTTAAGCTGGTTCCCCTCATGGCTCGCTTTATTCCTAAGAGCAACAAACCCCGGCTTGGCCAAGAAACACCAAAAATGAGTAACTCGTCAAGTGTAACTGTGCACAGCAACACTGAAGCCTGGCCACAGTGGCGGCCGTTGAGGGCTAGTGTGCCGCCTCCCCCAACATTATCACTCTTGTGGTACTCGGGAGGAGAAAACCTTCACACAAACTACACTTATCAAGAAGAACAAGAAGAAATGTATTTCTAGCACGATGGAGAATATGTCATTCAGTAAACATCAATGATTATGGCCAGGTTTAGTGAGAGGAACATCAATGCAAGTTGGTGACCAAATTCACTAAGGTGCTAGCAGGAAACTCATTATGTAGACTAAATTACAACTTGGTTTAACACACTTGAACATGTTTAACACCAATGCTTCCCGACCAGTTTACATCTACATCAGTTTCTGTGATAAATGTCCACTGGAGTTACAGAAAGCTTTATTGAATATACTGGTGCTTGTTGAATTCAATTCCTTCATTACAGGAAAACAAGAATTACAAGAATAATACAGAGTTAAAACTGCAAACAATTTAGAGATAAAGATCCAAAAATCTCCGGAATTTATTTAATGTTAAACAGTTGAGAAAATTTGAATATAAAAATATTTCTGGGAGTTTAGACGGTTGAGGACTGGGAGCAGTGTTGCCACACCTCAGTGTACTGCCTTGTCGCCTTAATTTGCTCCCCAACTTGCACATGTCGCGAAATATTTGCACCAAAAAAGTTTTTTTCAGGTGGCATATTCGTACGTGCAGTAGGAGGATGGTGTTACCTTTATCTATAAGCTGTGATGAAGTATTGCATACTGTTTGAAAGGTGATGGAGGCGAGTGTGGCAAGAGTAGGAGGACCGTGGTGTTATCAGTTGCTGGACGACGACGGAGGAGGACGGACGTCACCACTGCTGCTCTTCTGCCACGTGCACTACCTCTCCCTCCTCACAACCTCACAATGGGCGTCGGCAGCTCTTCCACCTATCTCCGCCGCAGTGCCTCGCGTGAGGTAATTAGCGCCACCTTCTCTTTCCTCTCATAATACATCAACATTCATCATTTATGAGTCATTGAGAGTCCAAGATGCCCTCCCGGGCGTCTTCAGGCCCGCCACTGTCTTATTGTGTATGGTAAAGCTGGTGCTTGTGGAGCAGGAAGGTAAAGCTGGTGCTTGTGGAGCAGGAGGGTAAAGCTGGTGCTTGTGGAGCAGGAAGGTAAAGCTGGTGCTTGTGGAGCAGGAAGGTAAAGCTGGTGCTTGTGGAGCAGGAAGGTAAAGCTGGTGCTTGTGGAGCAGTAAAGGAGGGTAAAGCTGGTGCTTGTGGAGCAGGAAGGTAAAGCTGGTGCTTGTGGAGCAGGAAGGTAAAGCTGGTGCTTGTGGAGCAGGAAGGTAAAGCTGGTGCTTGTGGAGCAGGAGGGTAAAGCTGGTGCTTGTGGAGCAGGAAGGTAAAGCTGGTGCTTGTGGAGCAGGAAGGTAAAGCTGGTGCTTGTGGAGCAGGAGGGAAAAGCTGGTGCTTGTGGAGCAGGAAGGTAAAGCTGGTGCTTGTGGAGCAGGAAGGTAAAGCTGGTGCTTGTGGAGCAGGAGGGTAAAGCTGGTGCTTGTGGAGCAGGAAGGTAAAGCTGGTGCTTGTGGAGCAGGAAGGTAAAGCTGGTGCTTGTGGAGCAGGAGTGTAAAGCTGCTGCTTGTGGAGCAGGAGTGTAAAGCTGCTGCTTGTGGAGCAGGAGGGTAAAGCTGGTGCTTGTGGAGCAGGAGGGTAAAGCTGGTGCTTGTGGAGCAGGAGGGTAAAGCTGGTGCTTGTGGAGCAGGAGGGTAAAGCTGGTACTTGTGGAGCAGGAGTGTAAAGCTGGTGCTTGTGGAGCAGGAGGGTAAAGCTGGTGCTTGTGGAGCAGGAGGGTAAAGCTGGTACTTGTGGAGCAGGAGTGTAAAGCTGGTGCTTGTGGAGCAGGAGTGTAAAGCTGGTGCTTGTGGAGCAGGAGTGTAAAGCTGGTGCTTGTGGAGCAGGAGTGTAAAGCTGGTGCTTGTGGAGCAGGAGGGTAAAGCTGGTGCTTGTGGAGCAGGAGGGTAAAGCTGGTGCTTGTGGAGCAGGAGGGTAAAGCTGCTGCTTGTGGAGCTGGAGAGCTGGTGCTTGTGGAGCAGGAGTGTAAAGCTGCTGCTTGTGGAGCAGGAGTGTAAAGCTGGTGCTTGTGGAGCAGGAGGGTAAAGCTGGTGCTTGTGGAGCAGGAGGGTAAAGCTGGTGCTTGTGGAGCCGGAGGGTAAAGCTGGTGCTTGTGGAGCAGGAGGGTAAAGCTGGTGCTTGTGGAGCAGGAGTGTAAAGCTGCTGCTTGTGGAGCAGTAAAGAGTGTAAAGCTGGTGCTTGTGGAGCAGTAAAGTCAGGGTAAAGCTGGTGCTTGTGGAGCAGGAGGGTAAAGCTGGTGCTTGTGGAGCAGTAAAGAGGGTAAAGCTGGTGCTTGTGGAGCAGTAAAGAGGGTAAAGCTGGTGCTTGTGGAGCAGGAGGGTAAAGCTGGTGCTTGTGGAGCAGGAGGGTAAAGCTGGTGCTTGTGGAGCAGTAAAGAGGGTAAAGCTGGTGCTTGTGGCAGGAGGGTAAAGCTGGTGCTTGTGGAGCAGGAGGGTAAAGCTGGTGCTTGTGGAGCAGGAGGGTAAAGCTGGTGCTTGTGGAGCAGGAAGGTAAAGCTGGTGCTTGTGGAGCAGTAAAGAGGGTAAAGCTGGTGCTTGTGGAGCAGGTCAAGGGTAAAGCTGGTGCTTGTGGGGCAGTAAAGGTAAAGCTGGTGCTTGCTAAAGTGTAAAGCTGGTGCAGTAAAGGAGTGTAAAGCTGGTGCTTGTGGAGCAGGTAAAGCTGGTGCTTGTGGAGCAGTAAAGAGGGTAAAGCTGGTGCTTGTGGAGCAGGAGTCAGGGTAAAGCTGGTGCTTGTGGAGCAGGAGGGTAAAGCTGGTGCTTGTGGAGCAGGAGGGTAAAGCTGGTGCTTGTGGGCAGCAGGAGGGTAAAGCTGGTGCTTGTGGAGCAGGAGGGTAAAGCTGGTGCTTGTGGAGCAGGAGGGTAAAGCTGGTGCTTGTGGAGCAGGAGGGTAAAGCTGGTGCTTGTGGAGCAGGAGGGTAAAGCTGGTGCTTGTGGAGCAGGAGTGGGGCAAGGTAAAGCTGGTGCTTGTGGAGTAAAGGAGGGTAAAGCTGGTGCTTGTGGAGCAGGAGGGTAAAGCTGGTGCTTGTGGAGCAGGAGGGTAAAGCTGGTGCTTGTGGAGCAGGAGGGTAAAGCTGGTGCTTGTGGAGCAGGAGGGTAAAGCTGGTGCTTGTGGGGCAGTAAAGAGGGTAAAGCTGGTGCTTGTGGAGCAGGAGGGTAAAGCTGGTGCTTGTGGAGCAGGAGGGTAAAGCTGGTGCTTGTGGAGCAGGAGGGTAAAGCTGGTGCTTGTGGAGCAGGAGTGTAAAGCTGGTGCTTGTGGAGCAGGAGGGTAAAGCTGGTGCTTGTGGAGCAGGAGTCAAGGTAAAGCTGGTGCTTGTGGAGCAGGAGGGTAAAGCTGGTGCTTGTGGAGCAGTAAAGAAGGTAAAGCTGGTGCTTGTGGAGCAGTAAAGAGGGTAAAGCTGGTGCTTGTGGAGCAGGAGGGTAAAGCTGGTGCTTGTGGAACAGGAGGGTAAAGCTGGTGCTTGTGGAGCAGGAGGGTAAAGCTGGTGCTTGTGGAGCAGGAGGGTAAAGCTGGTGCTTGTGGAGCAGTAAAGAGGGTAAAGCTGGTGCTTGTGGAGCAGGAGGGTAAAGCTAAAGCTTGTGGAGCAGGAGGGTAAAGCTGGTGCTTGTGGAGCAGGAGTGTAAAGCTGGTGCTTGTGGAGCAGGAGTGTAAAGCTGGTGCTTGTGGAGCAGGAGTGTAAAGCTGGTGCTTGTGGAGCAGTAAAGTCAGGGTAAAGCTGGTACTTGTGGAGCAGGAGGGTAAAGCTGGTGCTTGTGGAGCAGGAGGGTAAAGCTGGTACTTGTGGAGCAGGAGGGTAAAGCTGGTGCTTGTGGAGCAGGAGGGTAAAGCTGGTGCTTGTGGAGCAGGAGGGTAAAGCTGGTACTTGTGGAGCAGGAGGGTAAAGCTGGTGCTTGTGGAGCAGGAGGGTAAAGCTGGTGCTTGTGGAGCAGGAGGGTAAAGCTGGTGCTTGTGGAGCAGAAGGGTAAAGCTGGTGCTTGTGGAGCAGGAGGGTAAAGCTGGTGCTTGTGGAGCAGTAAAGAGGGTAAAGCTGGTGCTTGTGGAGCAGGAGTGTAAAGCTGGTGCTTGTGGAGCAGGAGGGTAAAGCTGGTGCTTGTGGAGCAGGAGGGTAAAGCTGGTGCTTGTGGAGCAGGAGGGTAAAGCTGGTGCTTGTGGAGCAGGAGTGTAAAGCTGGTGCTTGTGGAGCAGGAGGGTAAAGCTGGTACTTGTGGAGCAGGAGTGTAAAGCTGGTGCTTGTGGAGCAGGAGGGTAAAGCTGGTACTTGTGGAGCAGGAGTGTAAAGCTGGTGCTTGTGGAGCAGGAGGGTAAAGCTGGTACTTGTGGAGCAGGAGTGTAAAGCTGGTGCTTGTGGAGCAGGAGGGTAAAGCTGGTGCTTGTGGAGCAGGAGTGTAAAGCTGGTGCTTGTGGAGCAGGAGGGTAAAGCTGGTACTTGTGGAGCAGGAGTGTAAAGCTGGTGCTTGTGGAGCAGGAGGGTAAAGCTGGTACTTGTGGAGCAGGAGGGTAAAGCTGGTGCTTGTGGAGCAGGAGGGTAAAGCTGGTGCTTGTGGAGCAGGAGGGTAAAGCTGGTACTTGTGGAGCAGGAGTGTAAAGCTGGTGCTTGTGGAGCAGGAGGGTAAAGCTGGTACTTGTGTGTAAAGCTGGTGCTTGTGGAGCAGGAGGGTAAAGCTGGTGCTTGTGGAGCAGGAGGGTAAAGCTGGTGCTTGTGGAGCAGGAGTGTAAAGCTGGTGCTTGTGGAGCAGGAGGGTAAAGCTGGTGCTTGTGGAGCAGGAGGGTAAAGCTGGTGCTTGTGGAGCAGGTAAAGTGTAGGGTAAAGCTGGTGCTTGTGGAGCAGGAGTGTAAAGCTGGTACTTGTGGAGCAGGAGTGTAAAGCTGGTGCTTGTGGAGCAGGAGGGTAAAGCTGGTGCTTGTGGAGCAGGAGTGTAAAGCTGGTGCTTGTGGAGCAGGAGTGTAAAGCTGGTGCTTGTGGAGCAGGAGTGTAAAGCTGGTACCTGTGGAGCAGGAGGGTAAAGCTGGTACTTGTGGAGCAGGAGGGTAAAGCTGGTGCTTGTGGAGCAGGAGGGTAAAGCTGGTACTTGTGGAGCAGGAGGGTAAAGCTGGTGCTTGTGGAGCAGGAGTGTAAAGCTGGTACTTGTGGAGCAGGAGGGTAAAGCTGGTACTTGTGGAGCAGGAGGGTAAAGCTGGTGCTTGTGGAGCAGGAGGGTAAAGCTGGTGCTTGTGGAGCAGGAGGGTAAAGCTGGTGCTTGTGGAGCAGAAGGGTAAAGCTGGTGCTTGTGGAGCAGGAGTGTAAAGCTGGTGCTTGTGGAGCAGGAGTGTAAAGCTGGTGCTTGTGGAGCAGGAGTGTAAAGCTGGTACTTGTGGAGCAGGAGTGTAAAGCTGGTGCTTGTGGAGCAGGAGGGTAAAGCTGGTACTTGTGGAGCAGGAGGGTAAAGCTGGTGCTTGTGGAGCAGGAGGGTAAAGCTGGTACTTGTGGAGCAGGAGGGTAAAGCTGGTGCTTGTGGAGCAGGAGGGTAAAGCTGGTACTTGTGGAGCAGGAGGGTAAAGCTGGTAATTGTGGAGCAGGAGGGTAAAGCTGGTGCTTGTGGAGCAGGAGTGTAAAGCTGGTGCTTGTGGAGCAGGAGGGTAAAGCTGGTGCTTGTGGAGCAGGAGTGTAAAGCTGGTGCTTGTGGAGCAGGAGGGTAAAGCTGGTTCTTGTGGAGCAGGAGTGTAAAGCTGGTGCTTGTGGAGCAGGAGGGTAAAGCTGGTACTTGTGGAGCAGGAGGGTAAAGCTGGTGCTTGTGGAGCAGGAGGGTAAAGCTGGTACTTGTGGAGCAGGAGGGTAAAGCTGGTGCTTGTGGAGCAGGAG